CGTCTACTCCATTTTGCTTAAGTTTGTGTTGTTTTTAAACGTCTCTCTAGCATTGTGGTAGGGCAATTACTGGCTTAAGTCCAAGTCTTGTATAATTCAGAGTTCAAAAGTCATGTATTTCCCATTAGAAATTGAAAAATAAATTTTCATTTTTCAGGGACAGGTTAGTCTATGCCCTTTAGAAGGCCTCCTGTGTTCCAGACGCTGCAAGGCGTTTCATGATATTCACACAACCTTGTGAGATAGGTGCTTTTATTTTATTTTACAAACGAGAGAACTCCAGAGAGGTAAGCAGCTTGGCTAAAGTGGCACAGGAAATAAGTGGTGAGATTCATGTTAAAACTCAGTAGTGTCTGAGTTTGAACTCTTTGAAAATTGGTTTTAAAAAATATCTCCTGACTGTGTCAAAATATGATGGGAAGGTGAAGGATGGATGTTAGTGTTTTAAAAGCTCCTCATGGGATTCTAATGTACAGCTAGTTTTGAGCACCACTGCACTTAATATCCTGCTTCCTAAGAAACAGCAGAATAAAGGTGAAACTTGAGGCAGGTCATTTTGCTCTAAATTACGCAGCTAACCAAAATGCCCAGGTTCTTTTCAGTGCAGGCCGTAGAGTGACCACCTTGTCTTGGTTTGCCAGAGACCTCCCCAATTTTAGCACTGAACATCCTGCATCTTGGGAAACCCTTTTCCTGGCAAACTGAGATGGCTGGTCACCCTACCAGCCAGATATTTATGAAATTTAATTATCTGTAATAGCCTTTCATGATTTAAAAATCCTAGATGTGTACCTGCAAATTAGAGCACAATTAGGGAAGTGGTTTTCCTATGTATTCCTTTAGCCTTAAGAAGCCTGAATTGTCAAGGGATATTCTGCGTTTGTCAATGAACAAGCTGTCACTGGTTCTAACTTTTTCACCTCACAAATCCTTGTTTTGCAGAAACTTTTAAAGAGTGCCCTCCACTCCCACCCCAGGCCAAAAGAAAAATTGCTCTTTATTAATCATTTAGGTCCAAATATTTAAAACTAATATACATAAATTAAAAAAAATAAATTGAATCTTTTACAACTGAAAATCATAATTATTAATGGGATGTACCTGTTGGCCGCTATGCAATTTATCAAACCTTGGAATCAGACTGGACACTACCACTCATTTCCTGTTCCACGTGGAAATTCACATGGCACTTTTTATCACAGCAACCTCTGACAGCCCAGCTTCACAAACATATATCGTCTTCTAAACCAAGATAGCATGACCTAACGTTGAAACTGAACAACCTTGAGCCATAAGTTCCAGTGGTTTCTGATGTCAAACAGTGCTGTCTCCCTTGAAAACTTAAAATGTCCCACAATGCCTCTCAGAGTACATCTGTGTCCCAGGGCTTCTCAGCTCACAGTCTGAGAACTAGGGGTCTATAGGCACTTAATTTTGTCACTCAACAATTTACATGAAAATATTCAAATGAATAGTCAACTTCAGTGCTCTTTTGACATTTAATTAAGTGCCTGTAAATTGTGTTAACAAACCATATTTCTCTGGACTACTCCATAAGATTTGAATGTGTAAGAGAATATTGTTAACATAAATTAGTGTTTATGATTGTCTTATAGAATCTTTCTGGAACATTTCTGGTTAGCAGATCATCTGAATCTCTAACATGAAATAATACAGGGCATTGATTCTAACACACTATTCTTGATGGAAAATTTGTTAGGTGTAAGCTTGGCCAGAAAATGGTTAAGAATCACTGGTCTAATGGATTGTGTATGTTAAATGTATGTTAAAACCAATATCTCCGACATCCCTATCAGTTTTCCTCAGTTAACATCCACTGATGACCTTTGAAAACATTATGAAGGGTAATTAGCATGGTCTTTAGTGGTGCTCACTCAGCTCATTGGTAACAGACAACTATCAGATAGTCTGTAATAGACAACTATCTGTAACACTCAGATAGTTGTCTATTACAGACACTTGTCTGACCTATAAGGTGTTTTTAAAAATTGATGTATAATTAAAGTACAGTAAAATACAGATCTTAGGTTTTCTGTTCAATGAGTTTTTAACTGAATACGCCCATGTACCCACCATGCAAATGAAGATATAGAGCATTTCCATCACTACTGTTTCCTTATTTCTTTTCATTCCTCCATCATTTGTTGTCTTTTCTTTAATATACATTGAATCATAATGTACTTTTCTAATTTTTTTCATTTAACCATGTGTTTGAGATTTACTTATTGGAGTGCATGCATTATTAGTTCATTTCTAATACTGAGTTTTTCCACTGTATGAATATACCAGTTTATCCATTCTGTTTACAGTTTTGGGCTATTATTAATAAGGCTCCTGTAAACACTCTTGTACAAGGTTTTTTTGTGAACACATTTTTACTTTCTAGGGACAGAATTGCTGAGTTGTATGGTAAGTAAACGTTTAATAAGAAACTGATGAACAGTCCTCCGAGTGGTTATTCAATTTTACACTTCTATCAGCAATAAGTGAGTGTTCCAATGGCTTCACATTCTCAGCAGCATTTGTTGTTGTTAGTCTTTTTCAGTCATCCTAGTGGAAGTGAAATGGTATATCATTGTGGTTTTAATTTATACTTCTCAGAGGATCTAAGGTGTTGAATACTTTTGCATAAATTTTAAAATTTGTTCAAGTCCAACTTTTTTCTTTCTTGGTTAGTGCTTCTTGTGTCCCGAGAAATCTTCACCTACTCCATGGTCAAATACACTTTTTTTCAGCAAGCTTTTGTTCTGAGTTTAACATTTAGATCTATGACCCATCTCTATTGTTTTTGGAGGGGAGGGTATAAAATAAGGGTATAGGCTTATTTTGTTTCATAGGTATTCACTTATTCCATTAAAATTGTTATACTTTCCTTTTCTTACTGAATTAACTTGGCACCTTGGTCAAAAATTGATTGTATATGTTTAAGTCTATTTCTGGACTCTTGATTCTGTTCTACTGATATATTAATATATTCTTATCCTAATAGCATAGACTTGATTACAGTAGCTTTACAGTAAGTCTTGAAATCAGATAGAGCAATTCTTCCAACTGTTGTTCTTTTTCAAGATTAGTTTGGCTATTTTAAGGTCTTTACATTTCCATGTAAATTTTAATATATATTTTAATCAACCAGTCTAATTTTTTTAAAGCCTGATGGAACTTTGATAGAGATTGCATTAACTATAAACTAGTTTAGGGAGAATAGGGACCTTAACCCAAATTTGAATTTCTCAATTTGTGAACATGCTGTCTCCCCTTTTATTTAGGTTTTTAAGTTTTGTAGTCTTCAATGCAGAAATCTTACACATCTTTCTGTAGATTTGTTCCTAGATATTTGATGTTTTTCGAGGCTGCTGAAATGTTTTTAAAATTTAAGTTTCCAATCAGATCACTAGCATGCCCTTTTTGATTTTTGTAATCTCTTGCTAAATTTACTTAATATTATTTTTGATAGACTACATAGAGTTTTCTATGTAAACAGTCATGTCATTTGTAAAAAATGAATGTCTTAATTCTTGTTTCAATCTTTATGCCTTTTTCTTGACTGACTGTGTGGCTAGGATCTACAGAACAATGTTGAACGGAAATGGTGAGAACAGATGTTCTTGCTTTATTGTTTTATCATTAAGTTTGATGTTAAGTGTAGATGTTTTTGCAGATACTCTTTATCAGACAGAAATTTACATCCCTATAGTTTTTGTATTGGGAAAGGGTGTTGAATATTGTCCAACATGTTTTCTGTAATCATTGAAATAGACGATTATATGGTTTTCCTCTTTTATTCTATTCATGGGCGAATTTTACTGATTGACTTTCTATTGTTAAACTAATTTTGACTTCCTAGAATAAACTTTATTTAGGCATGACATATTATTATTATCCTTTTTTAGACATTGCTGGTTTCAATTTGCTAACATTTTAAAGACCTTTATTTCCATGTTCATGGGAGGATATTGGTCTGTTACTTTCTTGTAATATCTTTTTCAGGTTTTGTATCACATATGGTATTTCTTAAGAGTCATCCATATATCATTTTGTCCCAAGCCTAAGAAAGGCAAAAATCAATTGGTTTGAGGTGTTTTTCATGGTCAATTTTTTGCTTCCTAACAGCCATCATGAAAAACGTTTTAAAAAGTCATGTCTCATTCTATAAAAATTTCATTCTCTGTATGTACAGAAAACTGAAAAAAACCCAGGGAAAGAACTGAGATGTGTGATGAGTTGCTAAGTCAAAGTTCTGTTTTTGCTAGTTAGTTTCTCCCGTTCATTCTATTCATTTCACAGTATGGGGGTGGGGGTGAGGGGTGGGGAACCTGCACTGAGATTTAGGCAAGCTTCAAAAATGTTTTTTGAATATCTTCAATTATTGTATATAATGAATAAAAATCTTGAGGTTCAAACTCCAAGCATAATGAAATTTAGTTGAAAGCTTCTGAAGTTTAAATCAATTTGTAGTTTTGAAAATAGACCTAGTATTTTCCAATCTATGAAAAGCAAGAGAAATCTCTTTGCCAAAGTTAAAAGTGATAGGGAACACATATAACACATCTTTAATTAAAATGCAAAAGTCAGAAGGAAATTTACAAATGTGCACTTTAATAGTAAAAAAATCACAAATTTCATATATAATCTGCTATTTATGTAAACCATAAAGCTATACACACACATTTTTCCAAGTAAAAGTCTGAAAGGGTAATATCAAAATGAAAACAGCAATTAACTCTGGGAACAATAATTGTGTGGGAATGCTAAATGCCTTTTAGCAATGGCTTGAATTCTGTAGATGAGATTTTATTCCTGTATAATTTTTGTCAATAAAATAAACTTTAAAAAATTGTTTGAGTGAATCATGAATCTTCAGTGAAGTAGAAAAAACACATCAATCTATTAAATATATATATTGCTTCAAAACTATATGTGATAGTGTCCACATACTCAAATCCTATATACAATCATTTTTTTTCTGATTATCTTTTGGGCAACAATATGCAAAATATATATTTAGGATTGCCATTGAGTTATTTTTCAAACAGACTTAAGAAAAAATTAGTAAACTGAAAAATATCTTCAACTTTTTTGATTCAATTACCTTGCCTCAGATTTTCTAAATTATCTATTTTATCAAAAAATGAATATCATGTTCTGAATATTTAAAATACATATTTCTTTTCTAAGCTTACCAATGACAAAAACCATAACAAAAAGTAGTAGCTACCAAACAAGTAATGACTTAGTATACCAAACACATCATACACAGAATTAAAAGAAAAATGGCAAAAGAGGAAAGCTATTCAAAACAAAGAATAGGCAAAACACCAATATCTTTAAAATATGAAGCTCTTACAAATCTCTAAGGATGAACAGACATGTCAAAAAGAATTACAAATGGCCAAAAAACAAGCATTCAATCTCAAATGCCAAAACAAATATTTAAGAATTTTTTCACCTATTTGCGTTGCATTAAAAAAAGGTAATTTCTATTGCTGGTGGGGATTCATTGGCCTCTCTTGCACTTGTGTTGGTATAATACACGGGTAAAGGTTTCTGAAGGACAATTTGATACTCATTAGTTATCGAAGCCTTAAAATGCCTCAATCAGTTAATACTTAAATAATGTATTCCAGTTAAGATTTCCATTTTAAGTTACTTGTAAAGAGAGATAATTAAAACGAGGAGAACTAAGATGTTTTTATGGATCAGACTCACCAAAGCCAAAGGAGCTACAATCGAGGTTTTCCTAACTCCTCTCTTAAATTGGAAAAGTAGCCAAAAGAATCAAAGGGAAATATGTTAATCTTCTACTGCCCCATGTGATTAATTCCTGCAAACACCACAGAATCCAGAGGAGCAGCCTTTCCTGATACCAGAAGGTAGAAGGTGGAGAGACTGGAGGCCACTAAGTCCTTTTTATATTTTTTCTTTTTTTTTTGCAAATCCTTGCCTCCGTGACCAGGAATAAAGCAGAGGCACCAGCTCCCTGTACCCTCTGACCCCCAGCAAAGGAGCCAAGTATACTAAAATCTCATTTTAGTACGTTCCTACAAAGTTTACTCAAACTTCTTTAATTATTGATTTAAGATGGTCTAGGTGATATTCTTCTATGAAGGATTCTGCTTGATTAAAAGCTCTTATTTTCACTAGAATAAGAATGATTTCTTTGACTTCATCCCTGAAAAACAACAAAAAAGCATTTTCTCCCTTAAAAATGCAATACTGACAGAACAGCAAATTACCAGTTGTTAATCTGAAACAAAAAACTTTTTACCTTAAACCAATATCTAATATAGCATCTAATATAGATGCTACTTTCTCCACATAATTATAAAGTTTGAATAGAGACTATTTAGTGGATGTATTCTGGCAAATTTTAAAGTGAATGACTGTAAAAAGCAGAAAAGCACAGAGCAAATCTATCATCAGAAAACTGAGTTGTGCTGTGCTGCTACCAGGTGTATGGGCTATTCTGGTGGGAACCTTGGTGTGAGTATTTACCCCATAGATAGCATCTAATGCTACAAATCTGGGGTTTTTATTTTACTTTTTTTGGAGAAGTGGTTTGTCAGAACACCACTGTCTTACGCCTCTAAACATCAAATACTGTAAATGAGACATGTAAAACAGATTCAGCTACTGCTGGGTAAACAGCAGGCTACAGATCTGTACTTGAAGTGTTGAGACTTTAAAAATAGCCAGGAAAATTAAACACATTATAAACACGCTTAATAGGAAGATTTGATTTATAATTTTAATTCTAAGTTCCTGTGGGCTATCTAGTTTTCTCGAAGTGCTTATTTTGGGAGAGATTTACATTTAAAAATATGAACTAATATGCATGAGGTATGAGTATAAAATAGTTGATTCCAAAGTTTGCACATGAAAATATCTACTAACGTTATAGTAATAGTCTCTACGGATTCTTAAAGGTAGAATAAAAGTACAAATCTTTCTAAAAATTGCTGAGAACAGAATCCTTGAATTATGTTTATGGGGGTACAATTAAATATGCATTACCTGAATTCACTTCTAGATAATTTAAGTGCAGACTGCAATAAAAACTGGATGAAGTTTTCTAGTTGGGGAATAGATGTTCTCATGGTAGAATCTTCAAACCATTTTTCTGGTAAATATGCTGCTATCTGTTAATCAAAACACATGATTTTCAACAATGACAGGTATTATCTAAGGACTTTTGCTAACATGATCCTCATAATGATTATACATGATACATATTATTCTCCCATTTTATAGTTTATGGTTAAATAAATTTTAAGAATTTTCCCTCTGTCAAGGGTTAGACACTTAAATAATTATATTTTAATGCCAAGAGGTTAAAATAGGCTACTCTTTATGAATATTTTTTAGTGGTATTTGTTTCTATACTCTGTATTACTAAGTCATTAAATCTGTAAAAACCATAATTTACAACTAAATGCCAGAAATTCCTAGACCAAAATACTTTTAGTTAAGACAACTATAAAATATATACATTTAGTATTATTTCACTAAGATACTGGGTGACCTAGCATATGATCTACATATACAAATTAGAGTTAAGGAATCAAGTAGGTGATTTTAAGATACAGAGAATAAAAGTAATTATGGCTCTGATTTTCTTCTAATTTCATACATTGCTTTAAATGTCCATGGCAGCATAGTCAATGTTATGTGCATTCAATTTAAAAAACAAAACAAAACAAAATTCTATCATCATTATGCTAAAGGTAATACACGATTTGGGGGAAAGTTTTGGTAAAAATATAAAAATGTTAACAAAATAAAAAAATTTCATAGCAGAAGGAAGAATAAAAAGAAGAGAAAGGGGAGGAAGGACAAACCTGAGATCATACTCTTCAAAGAAATTCTTGGACAATTAAACAGGTTATGCTACAGTTAGTAAGATCAAGATCAGTACTTATATAAAGTAAAAGATGAGGGAAAATGCATCATATATTTATCACAAAATATGTTAAAGTTCTGGAATGCACTCTAAAATAAATGATTGGTCAGCACTGAAAACACAAATAAGGAAAAAGATTTATCCTACTCTTTAATCACCCTTTGCAATAATTCAGAAAAAATGCAGACATACTGCCCAACTAAGGCAGAAAGTCCTACGAGTTTTATTATATAAGCTGTATCTCTTTTTTAAAGACAAACCAGCTCTTACTGGCTTGAAATTTAATGTTATTTGTATTTGGCTTTGTTTTGTATTAAGAGTCTCAATAAAATTCTCAGGAAACCATCTAGCTTTTCCATAAATGATCCTCGGACATAGAACCGCATCATCTGGGTCTAGTTTTGTAGCCACAAGCTGTGGAGAGAATGTCACATGTCCTCTATTTCTGCATAGTAGACTCTTATTGATAAAAGAGACTAAATGGAACCTGAAACACACAGCATGGATGATTTAAATTTTTGGTAGATAATGTAGTTTTAAACGACACGATATAAAAACCATAGTGAGAAAAATCATGGTTAGGATGTGCAACCTAAAGTTTTAGATACTGTTTTTTATTTAATTTACTATAAAATAAATATTTTCCCATATTCTTAAAAATTCTTCAAAAACATGACTTCTGTAGATAGATGATAATGTTTTTGGACATTTAGGTTGTTTTCAACTATCTTCTATTATAAATAATGCTGCAATAATAGTCCTTGTCGTTATCCCTCCTTCCTCCAGCACAGAGACTGTTTCCCAGAACCTCTGCACCACATGTTCCAGGTGGGCAGTGCCCTTGTTATGATGTGGGGCTGCTGTTTCTCTGTGCTTATGACAATACTGGGAATTAGAATGAAAATAATAACAGTAAAAAAATTTGCCAACAGGTAAAATAATATTCTTACTGTATTATTTGCATTTTTCTGATTACTAGTTTTTGTTAATCATTTCCACACGTTTAGAGGTTATTTTTGCATATTCTTTTTTGGTGAACTGCCTGTTGAATGACTGTCTTTTGGCCTTTTTTTAAATTTTATTTTTTCGGCGAGGCAACCTTTGGTTGACCTCACAGATTACAAGGACCTTGTCAGCTTACAATCTGTTATTTCTTCATTTTTTATGCCTACAGCACCTGGTCTCCCATCCAAGTACTAACCAGGCCCGACCCGGCTTAGCTTCTGAGATCAGGCAGGACCAGGCTTGTTCAGGGTAGCATGGCCATAGACTTCTTTTGGCTATTTTTAATTGGAATTTGTAAAGAACTTTTTTAATGAGGATATTAATCCTTATTATGTAGTATAACTTTTTTCTCAGTTTTTCCACTCCCCTTTTTTAAACTTTTGGCTATTTTTAATTGGAATTTATAAAGAACTTTTTAAATGAGGATATTAATCCTTATTATGTATAACTTATTTCTCAGTTTTTCCACTCCCCTTTTTTAAACTTTTTATTACAGAAAATTTCAAGCATGAATAACAGGAGAAAGAATAAGTATAGAGCTCAATGAACCCATATTCCAGTTTTAACAATGATTAAATAATCTTGATACCTTGGTTAATGGTTTTTGATCCACTGCAGTGTTATATTTTTATTAAATCTTATTTTTTTCATCATTTCTTCTTTTAAGCTCAGAAAGGACATTTATCTTCTTAGTAAAATATTTTATAATTTCATTTTTAACACTTAATTCTTTATTTCACATGAAGTTTATACAAGTATTTAGTGAGAGGTAAGGATCTAACATTCTTTTTGTAAATAGTTAATCAGTATACTAATTTTTAAATACTTAAGGGTTGCTTCTTGGTTTCTAGTTTGTTAAACTAATTTGTTATTATGTGAGCATCACGATTTTAATTATTTTGCTATAAAACAGATTTTAATATTCAATAACTGAATTTTAAAAAATGATAAATTAGAATCATTTCCTACACAACTCACCTGGTTGCACTTTGTAACAACATCTGGCCCAGGTATGGCATTAAGAAGAGCTATGATAAGGTAACGATTTAGCAGCTTCCTTAGTCCTAGCTCTTGCAAGGTATCATCTGGGAGGAGTCCATTCCAAAGAAGAATATTGTGGAACAGCTAAAAATAAAATAAAATGCAAAGTGACTATGTACCTTTTCTCCAAAGGACAAATGGAATAGTCTCCAGCAAACATAAAAAGTTGGTCAAACTCTTAAACTTTTATTACAATTAGCACTGTTGGAACTGCTAATTTTAAAAACAAAATATTTCTAAATACCTGATACTTTCTAACCTCTATATATTTATTTGCTTATCCCATTTTCATTTTTTAGGACAACTACCCTAAATCCAACTCAAATAAATTTGCTGGAACCCTTCTAGATCAATAATCTTCCTCCTCAATGCATACTCTCCCAGAGCCTGGGGCCATCAGATGCAAGACCGTAGGACACCAGGATTCATAAACAACTACCATTAAAGCCAGTGTCACTGTTACCAATGTGTGTGACCTTGAGAAATCAATCAAATCTGAGAAAGTCATTGCTCTGATATATAAGATTAATAATAATCTATAAGTTTGGAGATAACTTGGGTAAAATACTCAAAAAAATTCTTATAAAATTAATATGGGTTACACCTTTTCCTCCTCTAAATCCAGGCCTTTCTATTAATTTTACAGTGTTTTCCACTTTTTTTTCTTGTATTATATTTATTACTCTAAGTGCTAAACTGCATGCAGTTATACTAACATGGAATGCTTTTTTATACTGTCATTGAGACGCTGCTCCTTCTTCCTGGAAAGCCTCTTCCTGACTCAACCACATGAGAAATATAAATTCACCTTATTGAAACAATTTTTGCTGAGGTCACCTATGACCTACTAACTGTCAAATCCAATAAACATTTTCAGTCTTTCTCCTAATTCTTTTCAGTGCCATTTAACATTCTGTCTTCATTCCTGGAAACCCCTTGCTTAGTTACGCTGATGCCACTCTCTTGTGATCATCCTAAGTGTCATTATTCATTCTAAGGCTTCTTCGAAAACTCTACTTTTTCTGCCCACTGCTTATGCCAGTGTTTCCTAAGGTTCTGGTCCTTAGCGACCTTCTCATGCTTCACCCAGTCTCCTCAGAGGTTGTCATTCATGGTCATAGCTCCAAATATTACCTACATGTGGTCGACTCCTAAATCTCCAGCTCAGATTTGTCCCCTGCAGTTCACACTAGTATATCCAACTGCCTCTTAGACCTCTATTTCTGTATTTGTCCCATAGGTATCTTCAATTCACTATGTCTAAACAGATCTTATCTTCCCTCCCAAATCTGTTTTTCCTGTATCCTCTCCAATGCCCTCAAAGAATGTCATCGCAAGTAACCAGGCTGCTAAAGTCAAACTCTGCTAGCATTCTACATTCTTCACATATAGTTGATTAGTCATCAAGTTCTTTCAATGGTTCAGCCTAAATATCTTTTGAACCCACTTTTCTCCTATTATCCTTATTGCCACTGACTTAGCACTGACTTCATCCTTTATCTTTTAGACTGGGGTTAGCCAACTATGGCTTGTGGATTAAATCCAATTTACTGTTTTTTTTTTTCTTGTTTTTTTTTTTGTAGAGCTAGTGAACTAAGAATGGTTTTTATATTTTTAAAATGATTGAAAAAAATAGAAGAAAATTTTGTGACATACAAAAATTGTAATATATTGAAATTTCAGTGTCTATAAGTGAAGTTTTATTGGAACACAGCCATATTCATTTGTTTCCCAACTGTCTATGGCTGTTTTTGCACTATGGTGGCAGAGCTGAATAACTCAATAGGAACTATATGGCTTACAAAGCCTAAAATATTCACCTTCTGGTCCTTTACAGAAGTTTGCTGATCTCCACCTTATAGTATACTGGATTTAAAAGAAAAAGATATATTTTTATTTTTGCAGTTTTCTGCTTACCTTTAGACCTGACCAGAACTGTCTTTCTTGGAACTTTGATTGTGGTGATGTTTTGTTTTCTACAGCACTAATTTGAAATGAAAGAAAGGAAAAAATGCAAATGACTACTAATCTTTAGGAAACAGAGTTTAAGCTTTAATGGAATATAAATAGGGGTGATCCGTTATCTATCAAAATTACAAATGCATGCACACTTTGACCCAACAAACCCATTTCTGAGAATACCTTCTGTAGATACACTTGCACATATAGTCTATAAAATTATTCACAATATTGTTGGTTTACCACTTATATACCCATCAATTACAGTACATCTATATAATGGCATATTATGCAAATTTAAAAAAAATGAGGAAAGTACATAAAAAGGTCTCAAAGATATGCTAAGTCAAAAAAGTGAGGTACAAAACAATGTACAGGTGTTTACAACATACTTCCTTTGCTATAGAAAGGAGGGGAAAATAAGATTACAACATATGTAACTATTCTAATTGCATAAAGAAATGCTAGAAAGGTTAAAAAAATTACTAAAAGTGATTATTATTGCATGAATATATATATGTTCAGAAGAGGAAGGGTAAAAACTGGGAGGTCAGGAGTGGGAGAGAGTAAGACTTTTCATTTTAAATATAAATAAAATTAAAAAAAAATACACTCCTACTTTTAAGCCATGTGAATATATTACTTATCTTCAATATCAAAATACAAACCTTAACAGGACAGAATTTTTACATGTACACATAGTCTTGATTCAAAGGAACCAGAAAACTTAGAAGTTCCTTTCTTTTTTCTCCATAAAGCTCTTCCATCCTATGATTACTTGCTGGATAGCTTCAGTTCATGATCTAATACTATAACTGATGCCTTCTTGGCAAATGTATAAATATGCATCAATTACTACTTCTTTCATAATTAAGGTAAATACAAAATTTACAAATGCAGTTTCTGGTCTCTCAGGGATGTTCCAGGCCTTATACTGTGCTTTTTCTGTGCCAGGCATTGTTCTGAGCACTCTTCATCTTCAAAATGTCCTTTGAGATAGGCATTAATCTAATGCCCTATTTTACATTTGAGGACACAGAAAGGCCCAAGGTCTAATGTCCAGGAATAGTGAACCTGGACTCCTGAATCTGTGCTTTTAATTACTCTGCTATGGCAACCTGTCATGTTCTTAGGAATAATATTTTTAAAAAAACCCTATGTCCAAGTGCCAAGTATCATACATGGCATATAGAGAAGGTGATCGAGAAATATTTGTTGAAATCTTAATTTGCATCTTAATGGGTATATAATGGGTACATTTTGAAAACAATATAGTTTCTTTTGTATTACAAACAAATTTGTATTACGGAGTTAGCTATTTCATACAATCCAGAAATTAATAGCACTTACCTCTCTGGATACAGAGGAATAAACACATCATCATCTATTGCCTTCTTCATTCTTGAAACAATGGATTTAAATAAATCCTATTTAAAAATTTAAAATATCAGTGATAGTCATAGGTAGAAATATATTTACCCAAAGAAGTAATTTTAACAGTATAGTACAAATTTGTACACATTCACAGAATCAGATGTTAAAATAACTACCAATCAAGTACAAGAGAACTTCATCCATCCATATTATTGCATATCACTGTAACTGGTGCATTTTCATTGCTGTACAGTAATCTGTTGCATGAATAATACTGATAGGAGATTTAAGATGGTTTCCATTTGGGGGCTATTATAAATAAGTTGCTGTAAAAGTTCTTGTACATGTCTTCTAGTATGCATGTGCATACATTTCCAATGGCTATACACATAGGAATGGAACTGCTGGGATATATAGTTCATGTCTATATGTTCAACTTTGTACAGAATGCCAAATTGTTTTCTGTAGTGGTATTCCATTTATATTCCCACTGGCTGTGTATGAGAAATCCTGTTTACCTACACCTTTATTAAAATGTGATTTTTTTTTAATGTTTGCAATTCTGGTGGAGTTTTAGTCATGTTTTATTATATTTTAATTTTTCTGTTGAATACTGTGATGTTGAACATCCTCTCATATTCTTATTTGCTATTTGGACATGCCCTTTTAAACTATCTAATTAAGCTGCTTGTCAATGTATCTGTTTATGTATTAGGTCTATTTTTTTCTTACTGATTTGTAGAAGCCTTTTATATATTCTAGCTAGGAGTTCTTTATTGGTTTGTCAATGTCCTTTGATGTAGTAAAATCACTTAGCAAATTCATTTTATTGTTTGTATGTCAAAAATTGGAAACCAAAATATTCAATCACAGGAACATTTAAGAACATGAAGTTATATCCATTTATATTGCATGAAATATTATTTAGCTAAAGTTTATATAGACTGTAGTAACATACAAATTTAAAAATTTAATGAGATCATGTTAAGTAGAAGTATGTTACAAACACACAGGTCCATTAGGATTATAGCTTTGAAATAAAAGGCTGGATGAAAATATCCTATAATGATATCATATCAATCCTTGAACTAGGATGAAAAAAATAACAGGAGTTAAAAAAGTTTTTTCTTGTATTACCAAAATTTCTATAAGATATTTTTATTCTTAAAAAGGAATCTAAATTTGAAAAATGATAATGCACACTGCGCACTAGAAAGTTACTTTTAAATCAGTGACAGTGTTTGTAACACAAATTAAGCGGTCATATACCCTATATACTAACCAAATTACTTATATACAATTCAACTAAATATATTTTTTCATAAAAAGTTTATCTAACTGAAGTCCTATTTCTCTTTCTGCTAAAGTAACTGTAACATATTCTTCATGTATTTAATAAACATTAAAAACAAAAATTTGATTTTCTTTTATTCTATTTCTTAAACATTTTAAATTCTTTTAAAAGAATAAAGATCATTTTTCTAGGCAATATCCCCTCAAAGCAGTATCTGAGCTTGCGTAAATTATTAAGTTAGTGCTAGAAAAGATAATTATGCTTTGATTTTTTTGTTTAATTTAAATAATTTTGAATGCCAGCCTTGACAAATATTTTCATATTGTTTAAATTTTTGTTTCTTAAACATAGTTCTTTAAAATATGTTATATAAAAGGTATTATGAAATAAAATGACAGAAGTGGAATATGAATGGTAGATTAAGCATTGTTAAATTAACTGACAACTGTACTATGGTTATATAACAACTATTATTATTCTTAGCAAATACACAACTTACTCTCAAAGTGTTCCAGAGGAAAAAATGTGTGTGTGTGTGCGCGCGCGCGTAGTGTATATAGTGGGAGAGCAAATAATAATGCAAAAGGGGAAAAATATTAATGATAGGTGAATCTGGGTAAAGGGCCTATGAGTATGCTATTTTTATTCATGAGACTTTTAGGTAAGTTTGACATTATTTCCAAATAAACTGTTTAAAACAAAAAGGAAATCTAAATTCATATATTTTAAAACTCAGTTCATTAACTTTTCCAATTAAAATACCTTATTTGGTGAAAAAAAGTTCTACAAACAGTGAAGTTTTAACAACTACACACACACCCCCTCTCTGTCTATGTACTTTTAAAAAGCTTTGAAAAGGTATTTATAAGTTCTAGCTACTTGTTTTTCGCTGCTCTTTTATATCCATGGAGATAATCCCAGGTGGCTTGGGTGGACATTGAGGCCCTCAGGGAAGAATGAAGGCAGGTGCTCACCACAGAAAAAAACAAACACACAAAAAACCTTTGCTTTTGTGTGTGTTTGTGTATAGGGGATATGTAAGATTTTATTTGTAAAAAAAGAAGTTGAAAACCACCAATCTATCTAAATACCCAACTGATGCCATTTTTACATTTCCACTAACTGGTCAACCAACCTATGCCTAAAAACATTAAATAATAGGAATCACTATTTCCTAAGGCCACCCATAACTCTGGGCAGCTTCTGACTATTAGATTTTAGTTAACAATGAGAAATAAACTATCTCCTACACCTTCCACTCCACGGTCTTAGTTTACTTTTAAGATCCTACAGGAGTTTCTCATCTCCCTTCCATATGAAAATTCTTCAGATTTTAAGATTGATATCTCACTTTTCTGTATCTTCTCTTTCCCATGCCATCTTAGACATACTTCATTTAACATATTTATACCCAGAATTAAATGCAACATATCCAGGGAACTCTCATCTGTGGGTGGAGCACATATAATGCTTTTACTCAAAATAGCACATTTCTAGTAGGATAAACTCTCAGCAGTCTTTCTGTTACTCAAATGACACTGTTGATTTATTGGGTTTACTGTCAATTATAATCCCTCTCTGTTTTACCTATGCTGTTTCAAAGCTGTGTCTCTCTCATCTTTTATTTATGCAGTTGAATTTTTGAACACAAAGGTAGGATCTATGTATATTCCTTTTATATTTTGAGTCAATTCATGTTCTCAGTATTTTGAAATCTTTTTGGATTCTCATTCTGCTATCCATAGGTCTATGACAGATCTCCTAGCTTTTTGTCATAGAGAAATTTTATTAGCATGAATTTTACATCTTCATTCAGTTCAAGCTAAGAAGATATCTAATATTAAAAGACTCTCCCTAAGTAGTTATATTCCAACTGGTTAGTATCCTTTAGGTAAACTCTACTAGTTTCTTTGTATCTAACTATACCACAGCTAAGCTTTCTTTTCTCATTGTTATAGCAAGGCCATAATTCCACTAGATTTTTGCAAACAAAGGTAATGAGTTTTGTTTTGTTTTGTTTTCCTTTTAGAAAGAATGAATCTGTACTAATGCATTTAATGCTTATTCATTTCTGCACAAACCTCAATGGCTGGCTGGGCCATAAGAATACAAATTAGACCACTAACCAGAGAGAAATAAGCTGATAAGAATGACAATAATACCTGGGTCTTATTACATGTATGTGTATATGTGTATCCTTTAATGATGATTACCGTTCTTGTTAGAATATTCAAAAGTATCAAGGTATATTCTTATATCGTACTATTACAAAGAGGAAAAAATGATCAATCCTAGTTTCTATAAATCAGAACTAAATATATTTTCCCCCAAATAGTGTTCTTGCATATCTTCTGAAAACAAAGATTCATAATAAAATTATATTGATTTATAAATAAAGAAATTCATAACTCTGGAAATTATTACCTTTTTGCCTTTGCTAACTTCATTCTCAAAAGTGGACTGTTCTTCAAGAATTGTTCTGCAGTGCGTTATTAAACTTGTTGTCTGTGAGGTCGACAAGGGGTCCCAGATGAATTCTACAAAGTCTGAAACAAAAATTTCAGTGGTTCGTAATTTATTTTACTATATTGCTTTGTTACATCTATATAAGTAAGGCTTTTAGCAAAGACTACTTCCATTTTTATGTGGTTTAAAATCCATACCAATTATTACCATTATGTATTTGCATACATCCTTAATTTCCTTGTCCTTTTTGGGCTTGTTTGAACTTGTCTGGCTAAACCACAACCCTAGGTACATCTACCTTGTCACTGAGTCTATGTTTGCAACCAGGCAGCTAAAATGTGGCTGGAAAAAAATACACTTTAAATTTAGCACCATGAAACTCTAATGAGCCCTTAATGCTGCCTAGCAATCATATTCTGTTTCCCTGGCCCATTCCTTCTTCTCACCTAGATGATTATTTCCTATCTTCTCCTTCCTCTTTGCTTATGGAGTTAAGAACAGTAAAGTCCAAAAGTTAATGAACTTTACTCTTCTAGATGACTGTTTACCTTGTCGTCTTCTCCCTTGCTCTCAGATGATAACTTCCTAATTTGATGAGAAAACAGAATCAAGCAGAAGAGAAGCTCCACAAGCTCTATCACAGTATCCACACACCAACCTACATCTCTGTCCACATGACCTAACTCAGCGGTCCCCAATCTTTTTGGCATCAGGGACCAGTACTCCAGGTCATCAGGCATTATGTTCCATATGGGAACATAATGCCTGATGACCTGGAGCTGAGGCAGTGATGCTAGTGCTGGGGAGCCGCTGCAAGGACAGATGAAGCTTCACTTGCTCGCCCGCCACTCACCTCCTGCTGTGAAGCCTGGTTCCTAACAGACCACAGACCAGTACCAGTCTACCAGTCTGAGGCCCAGGGGTTGCTCTAACTTATCTCCCATTCCTATGGATGAAGCCAACTCTTTGTGTATACAAAAGATTCCAACATCTTTGGCTTACTTGAAGATCCTGCTCTGGAACTGTGTTATCACTCTGGTATTGCCATCACTTCTATTAGATCTTTCCCATAAGCCCACAATTATTTCTCTTGGATTAAAAATAATTGCTCTCTTGATCCTACTTTCCCTTCCAGTACTGCACGCTTTCTTCCATTTTACAACAAAATTCTTCAAAAAACTATCTATCTGAACTTCCTATTTCTAATTTCTCTTCTCTCATTAACTCTTGATTTCACATCAGTTAGGCTTTATCTCCAAATCTCCAACCGTTCTAACTAAACTAACTACTCATCATTTCACAGATGAACTTTACATTGTAAAATCTAATAGTTGGTTCCAGTCCTCATCTAATTTATCAGCAACAATTACAACAGTTGACCTTCCTCCTAGAAATACTTTCTTGACTTGGCCTCCAGGATACCAATCCTGGTTTCCCACCTACCTCTCTGGTCTCCTCTGCTGGCTGCTTGTCATCTTTGACTTTCTAAATGCTGCAGTGCCTTAGAACTCAGGTCACTTTCTCTTTATTTTCCTATCTGTATCTATACTCTTAATATTTAAAGTCAGTTTTGTGGCTCTAAATGCCATCTATGTTTTGATAAGTTCCAAACTTATATCTTCTATCTGGACCACTCCTTTGGACTCATATACTCAACAGTCTCGTTGACATCTCCACCTGGATGACAGGCATCTCAAGCTCAACACATGTCAAACTGAGCTCCTGATACACTTCCTACCCTCAACTTGCTCTTCTCAATCTTTTCTGCTTCAGGAAATGGCAACAAAGCCAGCTGCTCAGGCCCACAACCATGGAGTCATTCTTGATTCCTATCTTTCTCTCTAGTTCCACATCCAATGCATTAGCAAATTGTCAGTGCTACCTTTAAAATATATACAGAATTCAACCACTTTTTGGTACCTCCACTTTTAACTCCCTAGCCCAGGCCATTATCTTCTGCTGCTTGGGTTACTGCAAAGCTTCCTAACCAATCTGTTTACAGTTCATTCTCAACACAGTAACCAGAGTAATTCTATTAAATGTTAAGGTAGATCACATCACTTCTCTGCACTTCTCTGCTTAAAATCTTCCAAATATTTCTCGCTTTCACTTACATTAAAAAATAAAGTCTTTACAAGTGATAATAAGGCCCCATCTGATGCGGCTCCTGCCATTCTTGCTAACCTCTTCTTACTTTCTATAGCTACACTGGCCTAAGTGCTGTTTGCTAAGCAAACCAGGCTGGCTCCTGCCTCAGTGCCTTTGCACTTGCTGTTTCTGCTGCCTTGGATGCTGTTCCCTCAGATATTCATATGGCCCACTTCTTTGCTTCCTTTTGGAATCTGCTCAATTATGACCTCAGGAAGGCCAACTTATTTTAAATTGCATTCCTCTTTGATAATTTTTATCCCTTTCCCTTATTTCATTTTTCTTCTTAGCCTTGTAACTAACATGCTCTAGATTTTATCTTGTTTCTAATCTGTCTTCTTCACAGAAAGTAAGTTCCACAAGGGCAGGGATTATTATTTTGTTCATTGCTGGATATGCTGAAACAATAACAGTGCCTGATAAAGGGTAGACCCTTGTAAAATACGAGTTAAATAATATAAAAAATTACACAGCTTAAAAACAAACAAACAAAAAAACAAGCCAAAAACAAAAACAGCTATTTCTCAAACATCTAGAATGTTAGGCTTCTAATAACCTTAGAAATGTTTAGTCCACTAATACTGAGAACCTACTATGTGCCTCACATTAAATACAGGAGACAGAGCAATAAATAAGACTAAGTAGTTGCCTTTGAACAATTTGTCTAACAGCAAATACAAATGCTGAGATAAACCACAGAATTCAGTGTGTAGATGCCACCATAAGTATAAGTCCAGAATGCTATAGGAACCCAGAGAGGTATGCCTAAACCAGTTCCTAGAATACTGTCCACATTGAGTCCTGAAAGATGAAGAGGATCTAGTTAGCCAAATGAAAGAGGTGGAGCTGGGAGGTCTGTCAAATGGAATGGAGCACTGAAAGTGCAAATGCCTAAGAGAGTACAGCTGAAGTACAGTAGAGGTGGGGATGAGGGGAAGGAGTGGGGCTTGGCAAGAGAAGGGGCTGGAGAATTACTAAACAGAGATGGAATTCTGAAAGGCCTAGAAAGCTATGTTAATGAGTTTAGACTATCTGTCAGGCAGTTAAGAATAATTAAAGTGTTATAAGTGAGGTAAGACAGAATCAGACTCATATTTGAGACAGATCACTATGGTTATAGTATAGAAAGTAGGTTGGAAAAAGGAAAAAAGAGCAGACTTGGCAATTGCTTATAAAAAGAGGTAACAAAGAAGAGAAAGCGGATAACTTGAAGATTCTGGTTTGAATCTGTGGATGTCATTTTCTAGATAAGGAACATAGGAGCAAGTCTGCAGCAAAGATGAGAAGTATGATTTTGCACGTGGAGTGAGTTGCCTGTTGGACACCCAAATGGATGTGCTCAGCATATGACAGCCATGAACTACGTAAGACTACTGAGCATTTAAAACATGGCTAGTATAACTGAGGAACTGAATTTTAATTTTACTTAGTTCAAATTTATATTTTAATAGCTACATATAATTAGTGGTTACCATACAGATATGGATGGCACTAAAGGACAGTGTGAAATTATCCAGGGATATGAAGAGAGTCCAGCATAAGACTTGAGAATATACAGTGTTAATTTCTCATGTTACTTACTTTATGAGGGACCGTTTAATTGTTAGTGAAGTATCTGGAGTTTTTAGAAGAGTACTCAAATGAGGCACACACATTCTATGTTATCGTTAATACAGCTAGTAGTAAAAGCAGTAACATTCTAATACACCTCATCACGCACAGCAAATTACACTGAGAAAAATCTTTAACGTTTAGTAAAGCTGGCTGAGGAGCAATATAAAGCTGTCTGCTTCATCTTTTAAGAGTTACGTAGATTTTGCTGCCAGAATCCATCGTCAGTGACAAGAGATCCTTACTAAGTACAATTTCCGGTAAAACAAAGGTCTTTAGACTTAAGTATAGCATCAATGCTAAGTGCTTAAGACTGCCAGTGGCTGATGTGAGGGAATAGTAGTAATGTTTTTTTTTTTAAGTAAAGAAGGAAAAAAGAGAAGAAACATAAGGGGACAAGTTAAGAAGAAATACCTGTAGTTGAGATGGAAGTGTTCTACTAATAAACGGCCTAGGAGTTATAAAAGCAACACACGTCACAAATGCTAAAGGCTAGAGATTATCAACAACTTGGTAGCAAATCACTTGCAGGAACAAGCATTTTTTAAAATTTGTTGATTTTTACTGCATATAACAGTTCCTTCTATTCAAAAACTTCTGAGAAAAAAATTGTGACTATAACAGAAATTAATAATCTTATACTCTTCCCCAAAACAATTTAATTTTATTAAGGTTATAAAGCAATACCTATAAGTCGAGGAATAATTGTTTTGTTGATGACAGCAGACAAGATTTTCTTATCAGAACGATTTTCCTTCTTTGAATCTTCCATACTACTATCCATAAATTCTTCTATAGATGTGAACCATGGCATCTGTTTTATACCTATGGAATCAAACTTATAAATAAAATTATCAAAGTTATAAATAAATTCTCGATATTAGTTTATTTTTATTTTTAAAATTATTTTTATTTATTTTTTAATGCCTACAGCACCTGGTCTTCCTAGGTGGTCTCCCATCCAAGTACTAACCAGGCCCGACCCTATTAGCTTCTGAGATCAGACCAGATCGGACA